GAGTTAGTGCTGCCTGTTAGTCGATCTGATGCAAAGTGCGCAAGTTATAAAACCAATGTGAATTGACACGCTTGGTTGTAGGGGCGAGTTGCTTGTAACGATAATAGCAGTTGCGAGGTCAGCGAAAACAACACTAACAGTAGTACATAAGTCATTTGGACTGGTGCTTTGCTCATGTATAACAACAATGACCTACGGAAGATAAAGAATCAAAGGGCGAGAAGGAAAACCTAGTGTTAAATCTAAATGTACTAGGCAAACGTCCATGGTCAAAGTTCCAACACTTCGTCAACAGCATAAGTTTAAACCTGTTGGTTATCGTGCGAAGACGAGGCAAAATCGGTTTGTTACTACAGCGAGTCAAAAACAGGCATTACTCCGCAGATAACCCAGCATCAGACACACTTTAAACAGATAGTCTGACGAACCACTTGAGTGGACTGCGAGCCAAGTCCTGTAAAGTCCTGAACTAAGCATAAGGTGCGTCTCGTGGACTCCAGCCTGGAAGGCCAACGTAATTGTAGAGACCCAATGGGATTTGCTTGCGACTTGTCATAGGCAGCCGTAGGCGAACACTCCACATGTTTTCCGGCAGTAATATATTACGCACCTGTGACGACGGTCAACCGCAGGTGGGAATTGGCGGGTGTGCATCCAAATGTCCGGGGGATGTCTAACTTGAAGCGGCCGGTAGCAAACCAATGAGCACGGCAGGTGCTCTCCTCCGTCAGACAATGCGTGGTACTCCTGCTCTAGACAAATCGAGCTGTGAGAGGACCACTGACCCGTCTTCAAACCCGAAGAGAACTGTGATACCAAGTTACTCAGACTCTAAACCATCGACTTGTCTGGTATGAGTGGCTCTGAAGGCGCTTGGAAAGTGCGACCTAGCGTAGTTCAATGGGTTACCGAGATGTGTAAGTCATCAAAACAAGTAAAGGCCCGGTTTCGCCGCGAAGAATAGTGGTTCTCAAATAAATATGCCACTAAACGAAAAACATCAAGGTATCAGACTTAACTTCATCGTGTCTAAAATGCCGAAAGACACCATCCTGTAGCTGTTCACCAACACTCGTGAAAGTCCAATCAGGGAGGGCAAAGTTGGTTTTAGCATTGGTCAACAATAAACTGATGGCATTTTTACTCTTCGTCGCAGGTATCGTTTCTAATCTGCAGTAGTTGAGATCACTGCACCTCAAAAACAATTACATCGATACATTAATTCAAATAGACGTACCCTTACTGGAAACCGAACATTAAACTCAACAGGTCAGAAGTGCTGAGGAAACACGAGCCATCAGGAACGCAGAGAAAGTTCGTGCTCAGATGTAGTTACTCAAAAGAAATCAGAAACGACACCACGAAATTCCAAACCTACTGTTAAACGACGATACAGCAACGGACGATATAGTGGAAAGATATGATCCGTTGAATACCTACTTAGCTGCCTCGTTTACTACTGCATCATCCGTATCCTCTCTTCTCCTTTCAAGGAAAATGGAAGATGTACCATCCCTATAAATCTGAAGGAAGTACAGATGATAATGACATCCATAAAAAACCGGCATTCCAAACGGGAAGTAGTGGTAGTTCCCCTGCAGATATAAGGTTAGGTGCTGAAAACATAACCCTCATCAGGTTAAAAATATTTACACTATCACTAAACACTAACTGCTTCACACCTAAGTGGAAAAATGCCATACTAATGCGAAAACACAAAGGCAGTCCACAGGATCGAATACCCAACTATCGATCGATAAACCATACTTCCACCGCCTCTAAGAGCTTGGAAAGAATCTTTAAGACTAGAGCAACATAGTTCCTACCAAGACAAAACCTACACAGCAATCCCCAACATGGAATCACCACAAAACCTTCTTGTGTCACTTGCCAATTAAAATGCCGCGAGCACGTTACAGCAACCCTAGTTGATGGCATGACCATCATCATCATCATCCTTGTGGATATGCAAAAAGCATTTGACTGCACCGCACAAGCCATTATTGGCTGTGTTTGAATCCTATGGAATCAGCAATCCTCTGGTGAGTTGGTCCGAGTCATCTCTGAACAATCGGTTACGAACAGCACAAATTGGTCAATATTGTTCTACTTCCAGAAATGTCATGAGTAGTGCCATTCAGGGCAGTATATTAGGCCCATCGCTTTTGCTCATTTACATAAATGTTATATGTGATCACATTAGAAACATGTGCCCATTTTCATTTGCAGATGACACCAAACTAGTGGACTCATTTCTACCTGACGACATGGAACCGTGCCTAAGAGATACACGAAGACCTATTGTTCCTAAACGAAAGAGGCTAACGTTGGTCAATGAGGTTTTCAGCAGATAAATCTCACATACTCTGCTAGAGATGCATTATTCCAGAAGAATCCATCACTCTTAGTGGCACCCGCATCCCAAATGAGTATTCTGTTTGAGACCTGGGATTTTGATACTAAGGCAGCTTCCTTTTCTCCAAACACATATTAGGTCAAATAGCGAAAGCGAAGCAATTAACAAGCTGCATCACTAGATCATTCTCACTATACCAAACATGATTTGAATCATTCAAACTCATAGTGCGACCCACTATGGAGTATTGCACCGTTATACATAGCCACTTAAGTAAAATAGATAGAAGTGCTTTGCAAAACGTCCAGCGCTCCTTTACCAGAATGCTCATGGGGCGCTCATCAACGAGTACATATGATGACCGATGTTCATGCCTCCAGCTCGATGCACTCTAGCTTCGATGGCTGTAAAGCATACCACTCTGCTTCACAGTACAATATACTCGAGTTTTCTCAACCAGTAGGGTTAACGCTTTACGTAATGGCTCAACCTATCACACTCGTAATGGGAAATAAATACTATTTTTACGGAGCACTAAGCAAAATATCCGCTTAAATTTCTTCTTGGTGAGGTGCGCACATCTGTGGAATAAACTACCGTTGCAACTAAGGAAAAGCCTACCTCTCTTCCTGAATAACAATTAAAAACTTTTCGTCCCTTGCCAAAGGTGGTCAAACTTTATGACCTTCAACAATCCACGAGCGCATACATGGAATCCGGCCGGAAAACTATGACAAGATTAACTATCGAATAATGTTGCCTATTAGAAATTCAACGAACCATTACATAACTGTTCCATACTGAATGTAGTTCATAAAATGAAATGATGACGAAACTCGCTGTACAAATGATAGTTCCACAAAATTGAACGTATCATCCTCGTCAAGAAATATAATAATATATCAGAAGGCTACCTTGATCTCAACACTTGCACAAGCTTGTGGCACTTCATAAGCATAAATCAAGCACCAGGGAAATACCTTTATATGTTTAGGTGTCCACCGCTAATACGGAAATAGAGAAAGCTGTATCCCGAGTTCCTCATGACAAAGGAGGCTTGCTCCAGGAATCTACTACAGATTCTTTTATATTCAACCCGGTGATCGCACCAATAATTAATAACGCTGCTTCTCCAGTCTCTTCTGAAGTGGATGTCATGCCAATCACCAATTGCTAAACTTGGGGTACGCGATTTATTTCCTAAGGTCTAGTCTCTGCATAAGCGTCTCTAGAGAGATTACCAGACATGGCATAATTCGAAATGACATTGGCACCTTCCCAGTGCAAATCACTCCTGCAAAGCTGGGTTGATAAACTGTCCGTTCAAACTGAAAGGACACTCGGAAGAGTTAATGGGCTGACAAAGTTTGAAATTTGTGTGAATACACTTTATAAATCATCCAAGCTTGTGTAAATTTCTGAAGTCCCAATCATCTATAGAGACAACGAAGCAGCAAATTGTTAGTAAAAGGCGCCGCACATAGCCGCTATAATATCGGTATTACTACAAAGATAGAAAACACGTTTATTTTACAATAACGACATTAGCAGTGGTCAGCCTCGAGCACCGGTGCTTAAGTATGCTAAACAGACCTGGTGGGAGCACAGAGTGAGCAATGCTGTGGGCTGTCAAGTTGTGTTTGAAGAGAAGCCATTTACATTGTTAAACCTAAATTGCTTGGGTTTACTAAGCTATGTCCTCCGTATATCCGGTGGGTGCGCACTACATGCTTTCCCTGCACCTAATTGGAACTAAGCACGTGGATACGAAATCACGGTGTGTCATAAGGATTGAAGAAACTGACTAAGAAACTTGGTAAAAGTGCTGTATCTTTGTATATATGGACGTCGAAATCCGGCACAAGCGCTTGGACTCAATGGTGCTCTTGTATTTGATTTTTTGAACTTAGTTGCTGATATTTCAATCCGATTTATTCTGCCCACTTCTTTCATAATCTCTTTTCTTTTGCTTTTAACTTGGATTCCATCAGTTGTTACTGCAGCAATGTAAGTATGGAAACGTGACTTTTGCCAATTGGATCTAGTGCACTTCGATGCTTGAATTAACCAAACTGACAAAAACATAAACATAAGTATAATACCGAACGAGGGAGCCTCTTGATCAGGTGACCAGTTGAAAAATGATCTGAGTAAAATAAGGCGACGAAACAAGATCCATTTTTGATTAGGAATACAGTCAATGGTGTCGGTCCATGAAAACAGAATCGAAAATGTCCCGTTCGCCGAATATGATAGCGGTAAGCCAACACCCACAAGGGGTGACACATAGGAGCATTGAAGCGGTAGCCAATACATGAGTATGGAACAAGTTTGGATTTAAGATCATTTCATCGCTGTTAGCAAAAACTTAGTTACCTTGACTACTCAAAACAAGGTGAAATCAGGTAAAATAAACGGCTGACTAATTCACCCATGTCTCCTGTTAACTGCCAAAGTCGTAGAATGCTTATCAACACGAACTAGAGTGTGAAGATTCGTGAGTTAGATTATTTGGTCAAATTAGATTTACTTTTTCAAAAGGTAAGACAAGAATCCATAGGAAACAGCAGTAACAAATGTATGGTCAAGGAGCGTAATGCAGGTCATTAAAACGACATCGAAAGCGAAACCCATGGGGCGGACTTCAAGTCCGCGCACTAGAGATTACCTCATCATAGTTAGACTCATTCAGATCCTCATCCTCCTCGGCTTCCTGCTCCTTCCTGCGTTTAGAGGGGGCAACGTGCCGTTCGTCAGAAACATCATTGGCCTCACGAGCAGGACCTATATCCGATCTTGTTGTAAAGGCGATAGCTCCGCGACCGATACCAGCAGCATAGCCTAAAGGTGCCGGAAGGCCGATAAATTCTCTTCGCTTCTTGGTTACTAACGATTGCACAGACATTTCTGAAGTAAAAAGATAACGTTCTTGCACATACGCTTATTTTTACCGACCACCATCATCACCGATACACGTTAGCTAATGTACCCCAATATCAAAAAGATAACATATATCAGACAACGATTCAAAACTTAACGGAATACAATACGAAAGCAAAAGCGTAATATGATGCTTAGTGACATATTACGCGCCAGGTGTGACATCGCGGTTGGAGCGGGAAGATAAGTGGGATGGGATTGGACAAAGAAACTCACAACACAAACACTACTGAGAATGGCTCTTAGTCATGTCAACTAGTGTACCCAAACAAATGTGCTCGTCGTCCTTCGGACCCTAACGCCGAATTCGAGAGACACCGACCGACGCCAAGTTCGAAGTGAGTTTCTTCATAACTTTGGACCAAGTCATCGCTTCGCCTCCCGTTCTCTTCTTCCAGCCACACCACAGTTGGGGAAATAACGCATGATGCGGGGAGGCGGCTTGATGGTATGCAGTAATAAAAAACGGTGACAGAACACAAAATACCTATTAGAAGGAAAGCGGAAAGGCGAAACTAACAAAGTTCACGAATGTTCTCAACAAGCACCGGACTACTTCTGATCGAAGATATTAAGGACCGAGAACGTTAGGTATACACCTTGTGGAAATCGTCAACGGATAACAATGAAAATACAGGGTCATAGCCCGCAGACTGATTCCGGACAAGCTCAAAATTGCTTGCTCAGAACTTGAGCATATGAGAGAACTTGGAATAGTCCGGTCGTTCAATAGCTATCGGTATTTTTCCCTACATGGTGCCGAAAAAATCTGGAAACTCGTGACCATGCAGTGATTAGCGTGCACACAACAAGGCGACAGTTCTCGACTGATATCTCATTCCATATAGCCAAGATAACACAGCTGGTCTAGATAGCGATCGCCTATTTCCGAGCGTGTAATGAGACTTCTGCCGTCGACCCCAACATCTTAAAACTCACTCGCCGTCTATAGGCAGTTTGGATAGTTCAAGTTGATGCAAATGCCATTCAGACTACACAACGCGGCACAAGCATTTCAATGCTTCATCGATTGTGCCGTACGTGGACTCGACTTCGTCCTCCCGTACATCGGCGGTACTTTAGTGGCAAGCTCATAGGAAGAGGAACTCAAAACGGCTGAAAACACACAATGTCACCGTCATCCTACCAAGTGCACTTTCATGCAAACGCGCATAGAGTTCCTCGGACGAAAACTAGATTCCATGCAGGAAGAAGTTCAAGCTATTAATAGTTTACTGGAGTCGTGGCTCGACGTTTCAACGGTATGATCAACTAGTACCGCCGTTTCTTGCCCCACCGCACCGAGCTGATGCAATCGCACACGGATCCTCTACGTGGATGTAGCAACGGCAATAATGACCTACGCTTGAAGTCGAGTTGGAAACCAGGAAGGAAGCATTACATTCAATCGAAATGCAGCATCGCCTTAATGCAAATGTCTCAACAAGTTAAGTCATCTACGTCTCGGAAAACGCAGTCTGTCATACAGCAGTCCTCCAAAGGCGAACGTCAACCGCTAGCGTGCTCCTGTCTAGGTCTGGGCGCCCTGGCAGTATCCCAGCCCACATACAACCATGACATTTTCTTCAAACATAAACTTCATCCTGCAGCGGCCGTCGCGCAGAGTATCAAGGGTCGCCTTATCTGCTGCATACAGCAGGGCGGATAAGCGAAAGCATGCTACTGCTGCCGCCTCCTTTCTTTTCTTTTCCACCTTTTTCTCTTACTCCCATCCCAGACCCCCATTACAACCTTCCTCTATAATTCCAGCTTACTTGACCAGCAACCGAAGTGCTACTGGAGTAGAACCATCTGCAGCCCACCATCCCACATCACCTATCGGACGCCTGTCGGCAAAAGGTCCCCCCCCTTATAAGGGCCACGCTGTCCCCTTTCTCCATGGCGTACATTCAACTCGTCCGCAACTCATAAGACACAACAGGGTCAGCAAGGCTGCACTCCGCCACCGCACCTTGGAACTACTGGGTGTTGATGTGTGTTGTGTGTCCGAAACTAGGATTAATGACCCTAACGGGGTTATTGAATTGACTGCACCCGGCTTATCCTCCCGTTATTGGTTGCACGCATCCGGAGACGCCGATGCGGCACTCACGGGTCAAGCTGGTGTAGGTATCATTCTCAGCTCCAAGGCTGAGTCATTGTTGGTTGATTGGATTCCGGTGAACAGCCGTTTATGTGCAGCCCGTTTGACAACATCAGCTAAGGTGAATTCGCGAAGTAAAACAAAACGCTGTTTGTTTGTGATTTCTGCTTATGCTCCCACCGACTGCAGTTCTAATGCAGTCAAGGACACTTTCTATCACGAACTGAACACGCTGCTACGCAGTGCTACTAGTTCAGATATTATAGTACTTGCAGGGGATATGAACGCACAGGTAGGGCGTCTGAGCTCGTCAGATGCTCAGCTGGGTGGTAAGTATGGACTTAACGCCGAACGGACTGACAACGGCGAGCGTCTGCTGCAACTGTGTGCGGAGCACCAGTTGTTTCTTACTAGCACTGCTTTTAGACCAGTGGCGCCGAAGTGCCCACTTGGCGTCCACCCTGTAGCCTGGATCAGCGATGGACCCAAATTGACCACATGCCATAAGTTTCCAGGTGGCGCGGTTCCATTCTGGATTGCCGCTCGTATGGAGTACCCTGTGTCGACTCCTGATCATGCCTTGGTGCCGCTGTTCGTTTCTCCCATGAACTTTACCGGAAGGAGCACAAAGCGTCTCCCCCCGATTGGCAACGGAGAAATTGTCCAGCCCTCGGTCAGGCAAGCTATCAAGACGCACTGCATAGCGAAATCTCGTAGTCTTGTCCTAATGACCCTGAACTTCAGTGGAATAGGATTCTCGGCCGTGCCATGCACGACGCCAGGAGCATCCTGCTTGTGGCACTATCAGTCGTCACGCACCAGTCACTGGATATCCGAGAGGGTCCGTGAACCTGTTGGAAGCTAGAAGGACACCTCCCGGCTGGTTCTGAACACAATGTGACCAGACCGGCTATTAGGCGTGAACTAAAGCGAGCCTACGTGCTGACAAGGAAGCCTGGTGGACCCAGTCGGCTCAAGAAATGGAGGATTCCAGATGAGCAGTAGGCAATTACCGCAAGCTCTTCCAGCTAATCGCACCACTGGTCCGAGGAACCAGGCGTCAGTGAGACAAACAGGGACAGCGCGGGTGCGCTGATACACAATAAGGAGCGCCGTATGGCTCGTTGGGCTGAGCACTTTGAACATCAGTTCAGCTGGCCCCCTGCTCCCGGACCTCTTCCTACTCAGGTGATGCAGGACGAGCCATGGACGGTTAGTTTAGAGCCTCCGTCGGAGGCCGAGGTCCGAAACGCGATCACAGCCCTCAATCGTTTTCGTGCCGCTGGCCCGGATTCCCTCCACCTGCACTATTTATGGATGGAGGTGAGGTCCTCTGCAAAGCACTGACCTCCCTATTCGAACGTATCTGGAACGAAGAGTGTGCCGGCTAATTGGAGCGAATCGATTATAGTGGCAATATACAAGAAGGGCAGTCGCACAGACTGTGCGAACCACAGGGGTATTAGCCTAACGCCAGTTGTGACAAAATTACTGGCCTCGATTATCGTTCGTCGCCTCACTGCAGAACGGGAATCTCGGATTAGAGAAGAGCAGGCCGGTTTTCGCCCAGGACGTGGCTGTATAGACCATATATTTACTTTGCGGCAGGTGCTAGAGCAGCGCCACGCATACCGCAGACCGACAATAGCTGTGTTCCTCGATTTCAAGAGTGCGATCGACTGAATCGAACGCACTCTTGAAATCGAGGAACACAGCTATTGTCGGTCTGCGGTATGCGTGGCGCTGCTCTAGCACCTGCCGCAAAGTGAATATATGGTCTATACAGCCACGTCCTGGGCGAAAACCAGCCTGCTCTTCTCTAATCCGAAATTCCCGTTCTGCAGTGAGACGACGAACGATAATCCAGGGCAGTAATTTTGTCACAACTGGCATTAGGCTAATACCTCTGTGGTTCGCACAGTCTGTGCGACTGCCCTTCTTGTATATTGCCACTATAATCGATTCGCTCCAATTAGCCGGCACACTCTTCGTTCCAGATACGTTCGAATAGGGAGGTCAGTGCTTTGCAGAGCACCTCACCTCCATCCATAAATAGTGCAGGTGAGAGGGAATCCGGGCCAGCGGCACCAAAACGATTGAGGGCTGTGATCGCGTTTCGGACCTCGGCCTCCGACGGAGGCTCTAAACTAACCGTCCATGGCTCGTCCTGCATCACCTGAGTAGGAAGAGGTCCGGGAGCAGGGGGCCAGCTGAACTGATGTTCAAAGTGCTCAGCCCAACGAGCCATACGGCGCTCCTTATTGTGTATCAGCGCACCCGCGCTGTCCCTGTTTGTCTCACTGACGCCTGGTTTTCTCGGACCAGTGGTGCGTATTAGCTGGAAGAGCTTCCGGTAATTGCTTACTGCTCCTGCCTCCTCCATTCCTTGAGCCCTACTGGTCCACCAGGCTTCCTTGTCAGCACGTAGGCTCTGCTTTAGTTCATGCCTAATAGCCCGTCTGGTCACATTGTGTTCAGAACCAGCCGGGAGGTGCCTTCTAGCTTCCAAAAGGTTCACGGACCTCTCTGATATCCAGTGACTGGTGCGATGACGACTGATAGTGCCACAAGCAGATGCTCCTGCGTCGTGCATAGTGGCCGAGATCCTATTCCACTGAAGTTCAGTATCATTAGGAGAAGACAGCGAGAGTTCGCTATGCAGTGCTTCTTGATAGGCTTGCCTGACAGAGGGCTGGGACAATTTCTCCGTTGCCAATCGGGGGAGACGCTTTGTGCGCCTTCCGGTAAAGTTCAAGGAGAAACGACAGCGCACCAAGACATGGTCAGAGTCGACACAGGTACTCCAGTACGAGCGGCAATCCAAAATGGAACCGCGCCATCTGTAACTTATGGCTATGTGGTCAATTTGGGTCCATCGCTGACCAGCTACAGGTGGACGCCAAGTAGCACTTCGGCGCCCACTGTGTCTAAAAGCAGTGCTAGTAAGAAACAACTGGTGCTCCGCACACAGTTGCAGCAGACGCTCGCCGTTGTCAGTCCGTTCGGCGTTAAGTCCATACTTACCACCCAGCTGAGCATCTGACGAGCTCAGACGCCCTACCTGTGCGTTCATATCCCCTGCAAGTACTATAATATCTGAACTAGTAGCACTGCGTAGCAGCGTGTTCAGTTCGTGATAGAAAGTGTCCTTGACTGCATTAGAACTGCAGTCGGTGGGAGCATAAGCAGAAATCACAAACAAACAGCGTTTTGTTTTACTTCGCGAATTCACCTTAGCTGATGTTGTCAAACGGGCTGCACATAAACGGCTGTTCACCGGAATCCAATCAACCAACAATGACTCAGCCTTGAAGCTGAGAATGATACCTACACCAGCTTGACCCGTGAGTGCCGCATCGGCGTCTCCGGATGCGTGCAACCAATAACGGGAGGATAAGCCGGGTGCAGTCAATTCAATAACCCCGTTAGGGTCATTAATCCTAGTTTCGGACACACAACACACATCAACACTCAGTGTGTCCAAGGTGCGTGCGAGTGCAGCCTGCTGACCTGTTTGTCTTAGACTGCGGACGTTGAATGTCGCCATGGAAACGGGACAGCGTGGCCTTATAAGGGACTTTTGCCGATAGGCGTCCGATAGGTGCTGTGGGATGGTGGCTGCAGATGGTTCTACTCCAGTAGCACTTCGGTTGCTGTCAGTTAAGCTGGGAATTATAGAAGGAAGGTTAGTAATGGGTGCCGGGATGGGAGTAAGAGAAAAAGGTGGAAAAGAAAGAAGGGAGGCGCCAGCAGTAGCATGCTTTCGCTTATCCGCCCTGCTGTATGCAGCAGATAAGGCGACCCTTGATACTCTGCGCGACGGCCGCTGCAGGATGAAGTTTATGTTTGAAGAAAATGTCATGGTTGTATGTGGGCTGGGATACTGCCAGGGCGCCCAGACCTAGACAGGAGAACGCTAGCGGTTGACGTTCGCCTTTGGAGGACTGCTGTATGACAGACTGCATTTTCCGAGACGTAGATGACTTAACTTGTTGAGACATTTGCATTAAGGCGATGCTGCATTTCGACTGAATGTAATGCTTCCTTCCTGGTTTCCAACTCGACTTCAAGCGTAGGTCATTATTGCCGTTGTTACATCCACGTAGAGGATCCGTGTGCGATTGCATCAGCTCGGTGCGGTGGGGCAAGAAACGGCGGTAGTAGTTGATCATACCGTTGAAACGTCGAGCCACGACTCCAGTAAACTATTAATAGCTTAAACTTCTTCCTGCATGGAATCTAGTTTTCGTCCGAGGAACTCTATGCGCGTTTGCATGAAAGTGCACTTGGTAGGATGACGGTGACATTGTGTGTTTTCAGCCGTTTTGAGTTCCTCTTCCTATGAGCTTGCCACTAAAGTACCGCCGATGTACGGGAGGACGAAGTCGAGTCCACGTACGGCACAATCGATGAAGCATTGAAATGCTTGTGCCGCGTTGTGTAGTCTGAATGGCATTCGCATCAACTTGAACTATCCAAACTGCCTATAGACGGCGAGTGCGAGTTTTAGGATGTTGGGGTCGACGACAGAAGTCTCATTACACGCTCGGAAATATGCGATCGCTACCTAGACCAGCTGTGTTATCTTGGCTATATGGAATGAGATATCAGTCGAGAACTGTCGCTTTGTTGAGTGCACGCTAATCACTGCATGGTCACGAGTTTCCAGATTTTTTCGGCACCATGTAGGGAAAAATACCGAGAGCTATTGAACGACCGGACTATTCCAAGCTCTCTCATATGCTCAAGTTCTGAGCAAGCAATTTTGCGCTTGTCCGGAGTCAGTCTGCGGGCTATGACCCTGTATTTTCATTGTTATCCGTTGACGATTTCCACAAGGTGTATACCTAACGTTCTCGGTCCTTAACATCTTCGATCAGAAGTAGTCCGGTGCTTGTTGAGAACATTCGTGAACTTTGTTAGTTTCGCCTTTCCGCTTTCCTTCTAATGGGTATTTTGTGTTCTGTCACCGTTTTTTATTACTGCATACCATCAAGCCGCCTCCCCGCATCATGCGTTATTTCCCCAACTGTGGTGTGGCTGGAAGAAGAGAACGGGAGGCGAAGCGATGACTTGGTCCAAAGTTATGAAGAAACACACTTCGAACTTGGCGTCGGTCGGTGTCTCTCGAATTCGGCGTTAGGGTCCGAAGGACGACGAACACATTTGTTTGGGTACACTAGTTGACATGGCTAAGAGCCATTCTCAGTAGTGTTTGTGTTGTGAATTTCTTTGTCCAATCCCATCCCACTTATCTTCCCGCTCCAACCGCGATGTCACACCTGGCGCGTAATATGTCACTAAGCATCATATTACGCTTTTGCTTTCGTATTGTATTCCGTTAAGTTTTGGATCGTTGTCTGATATATGTTATCTTTTTGATATTGGGGTACATTAGCTAACGTGTATCGGTGATGATGGTGGTCGGTAAAAATAAGCGTATGTGCAAGAACGTTATCTTTTTACTTCAGAAATGTCTGTGCAATCCTTAGTAACCAAGAAGCGAAGAGAATTTATCGGCCTTCCGGCACCTTTAGGCTATGCTGCTGGTATCGGTCGCGGAGCTATCGCCTTTACAACAAGATCGGATATAGGTCCTGCTCGTGAGGCCAATGATGTTTCTGACGAACGGCACGTTGCCCCCTCTAAACGCAGGAAGGAGCAGGAAGCCGAGGAGGATGAGGATCTGAATGAGTCCAACTATGATGAGGTAATCTCTAGTGCGCGGACTTGAAGTCCGCCCCATGGGTTTCACTTTCGATGTCGTTTTAATGACCTCCATTATGCTCCTTGACCATACATTTGTTACTGCTGTTTCCTATGGATTCTTGTCTTACCTTTTGAAAAAGTAAATCTAATTTGACCAAATAATATAACTCACGAATCTTCACACTCTAGTTCGTGTTGATAAGCATTATACGACTTTGGCAGTTAACAGGAGACGGGTGAATTAGTCAGCCGTTTATTTTACCTGATTCCACCTTGTTTTGAGTAGTCAAGGTAACTAAGTTTTTGCTAACAGCGATGAAATGATCTTAAATCCAAACTTGTTCCATACTCATGTATTGGCTACCGCTTCAATGCTCCTATGTGTCACCCCTTGTGGGTGTTGGCTTACCGCTATCATATTCGGCGAACGGGACATTTTCGATTCTGTTTTCATGGACCGACACCATTGACTGTATTCCTAATCAAAAATGGATCTTGTTTCGTCGCCTTATTTTATTCAGATCATTTTTCAACTGGTCACCTGATCAAGAGGCTCACTCGTTAGGTATTATACTTATGTTTATGTTTTTGTCAGTTTGGTTAATTCGAGCATCGAAGTGCACTAGATCCAATTGGTAAAAGTCACGTTTCCATACTTACATTGCTGCAGTAACAACTGATGGAATCCAAGTTAAAAGCAAAAGAAAAGAGACTATGAAAGAAGTGGGCAGAATAAATCGGATTGAAATATCAGCAACTAAGTTCAAAAAATCGAATACAAGAGCACCATTGAGTCCAAGCGCTTGTGCCGGATCTCGACGTCCATATATACAAAGATACAGCACTTTTACCAAGTTTCTTAGTCAGTTTCTTCAGTCCTTATGACACACCGTGATTTCGTATCCACGTGCTTAGTTCCAATTAGGTGCAGGGAAAGCACGTAGTGGGCACCCACCGGGTGTACGGAGGACATAGCTTAGTAAACCCAAGCAATTTAGGTTTAACGATGTAAATGGCTTCTCTACAAAGACAACTTGACAGCCCACAGCATTGCTCACTCTGTGCTCCCACCAGATCTGTTTAGCATACTTAAGCACCGGTGCTCGAGGCTGGCCACTGCTTATGTCGTTATTGCAAAATAAACGTGTTTTCCATCTTTGTAGTAATACCGATATTATAGCGGCTATGTGCGGCGCCTTTTACTAACGATCTGCTTCTTCATTGTCTCTATAGATGATTGGGACTTCAGAAATTCACACAAGCTTGGATGATTTATGAAGTGTATTCACACAAATTTCAAACTTTGTCAGCCCATTAACTCTTCCGAGTGTCCTTTCAGTTTGAACGGACAGTTTATCAACCCAGCTTTGCAGGAGTGACTTGCACTGGGAAGGTGCCAATGTCATTTCGAATTATGCCATGTCTGGTAATCTGTCTAGAGACGCTTATGCAGAGACTAGACCTTAGGAAATAAATCGCGTACTCCAAACTTAGCAATTGGTGATTGGCATGACATCCATTCCAGAAGAGACTGGAGAAGCAGCGTTATTAATGATCGGTGCGATCACCGGGTTGAATATAAAAGAATCTATAGTAGATTCCTGGGGCAAGCCTCCTTTGTCATGAGGAACTCAGGATACAGCTTTCTCTATTTCCGCATTAGCGGTGGGCACCTAAACATATAAAGGTTTTTCCCTGGTGCTTGATTTATGCTTATGAAGTGCCACAAGCTTGTGCAAGTGTTGAGATCAAGGTAACCTTCTAATATATTATTATATTTCTCGACGAGGGTGATACGTTCAATTTTGTGGAACCATCATTTGTAAAGCGAGTTTCGTCATCATTTCATTTTATGAACTACATTCAGTATGGAACAGTTATGTAATGGTTCGTTGAATTTCTAATAGGCAACATTATTCTATAGTTAATCTTGTCATAGTTTTCCGGCCGGATTCCATGTATGCGCTCGTGGATTGTTGAAGGTCATAAAGTTTGACCACCTTTGGCAAGGGAAGAAAAGTTTTAAATTGTTATTCAGGAAGAGAGGTAGGCTTTTCCTTAGTTGCAACGGTAGTTTATTCCACAGATGTGCGCACCTCACCAAGAAGAAATTTAAGCGGATATTTTGCTTAGTGCTCCGTAAAAATAGTATTTATTTCCCATTACGAATGTGATAGGTTGAGCCATTACGTAAAGCGTTAACCCTACTGGTTGAGAAAACTCGAGTATATTGTACTGTGAAGCGGAGTGGTATGCTTTACAGCCATCGAAGCTAGAGTGCATCGAGCTGGAGGCATGAACATCGGTCATCATATGTACTCGTTGGTGAGCGCCCCATGAGCATTCTGGTAAAGGAGCGCTGGACGTTTTGCAAAGCACTTCTATCTATTTTACTTAAGTGGCTATGTATAACGGTGCAATACTCCATAGTGGGTCGCACTATGAGTTTGAATGATTCGATCATGTTTGGTATAGTGAGAATGATTTAGTGATGTAGCTTGTTAATTGCTTCGCTTTCGCTATTTGACCTAATATGTGTTTGGAGAAAAGGAAGCTGCCTTAGTATCAAAATCCCAGGTCTCAAACAGAATACTCATTTGGGATGCGGGTGCCACTAAGAGTGATGGATTCTTCTGGAATAATGCATCTCTGGCAAAGTATGTGAGATTTACCTGCTGAAAACCTCATTGACCAACGTTCGCCTCTTTCGTTTAGGGACAGTAGGTCTTCGTGTATCTCTTAGGCACGGTTCCATGTCGTCAGGTAGAAATGAGTCCACTAGTTTGGTGTCATCTGCAACTGAAAATGGGCACATGTTTCTAATGTGATCATATATAACATTTATGTAAATGACTAAAAGCGATGGGCCTAATATACTGCCCTGAATGGCACTACTCATGACATTTCTGGAAGTAGAACAATATTGACCAATTTGTGCTGTTCGTAACCGATTGTTCAGAGATGACTCGGACCAGCTCACAAGAGGATTGCTGATTCCATAGGATTCAAACACAGCCAATAATGGCTTGTGCGGTGCAGTCAAATGCTTTTTGCATATCCACAAGGATGATGATGATGATGGTCATGCCATCAACTAGGGTTGCTGTAACGTGGTCGCGGCATTTTAATTGGCATGTGACACAAGAAGGTTTTGTAGTGATCCCATGTTGGGGATTGCTGTGTAGGTTTTGTCTTCGTAGGAACTGTGTAGCTCTAGTCTTAAAAATTCTTTCCAAGCTCTTAGAGGCTGTAGAAGTATGGTTTATCGATCGATAGTTAGGCATTCGATCCTGTGGACCGCCTTTGTGTTTTCGAATTAGTATGGCATTTTTCCACTTAGGTGTGAAGCAGTTAGTGTTTAGTGATAGTGTAAATATTTTTAACCTGATGAGGGTTATGTTTTCAGCACCTAACCTTATATCTGCAGGGGGACTACCCCTACTTCCCGTTTGGAATGCCGGTTTTTTATGGGTGTCATTATCATCTGTACTTCCTTCAGATTTATAGGGATGGTACATCTTCCATTTCCCTTGAAAGAAGAAGAGAGGATACGGATGATGCAGTAGTAAACGAGGCAGCTAAGTAGGAATTCAACGGATCATATCTTTCCACTATATCGTCCGTTGCTGTATCGTCGTTTAACAGTAGGTTTGGAATTTCGTGGTATCGTTTCTGATTTCTTTTGAGTAACTACATCTGAGCACGAACTTTCTCTGCATTCCTGATGGCTCGTGTTTCCTCAGCACTTCTGACCTGTTGAGTTTAGTGTTCGGTTTCCAGTAAGGGTACGTGTATTTGAATTGATGTATCGATGTAATTGTTTTTGAGGTGCAGTGATCTCAACTACTGCAGATTAGAAACGATACCTGCGACGAAGAGTGAAAATGCCATCAGTTTATTGTTGACCAATGCTAAAACCAACTTTGCCCTCCCTGATTGGACTTTCACGAGTGTTGGTGAACAGCTACAGGATGGTGTCTTTCGGCATTTTAGACACGATGAAGTTGAGTCTGATACCTTGATGTTTTTCGTTTAAAGTGGTATATTCATTTGAGGACCACTATTCTTCGCGGCGAAACCGGGCCTTTACTTGTTTTGATGGCTTACACATCTCGGTAACCCATTGAACTACGCTAGGTCGCACTTTCCAAGCGCCTTCAGAGCCACTCATACCAGACAAGTCGATGGTTTAGAGTCTGAGTAACTTGGTATCACAGTTCTCTTCGGGGTTAAAGACGGGTCAGTGGTCCTCTCACAGCTCGATTTGTCTAGAGCAGGAGTACCACGCATTGTCTGACGGAGGAGAGCACCTGCCGTGCTCATTGGTTTGCTACCGGCCGCTTCAAGTCAGACATCCCCCGGACATTTGGGTGCACACCCGCCAATTCCCACCTGCGGTTGACCCTCGTCACCGGTGCGTAATATATTACTGTCGGAAAACATGTGGTTTTGCCTAAGGCTGCCTGTGACAAGTCTCAAGCAAATCCCAATGGGTCTCCACAATTACGCTAGCCTTCCAGGCTGGAGTCCACGAGATGCACCTTATGCTTAGTTCAGGACTTTACAGGACTTGGCTCGCAGTCCGCTCAAGTGGTTCGTCAGACTATCTGTTTAAAGTGTGTATGATGTGTTATCTGCGGAGTAATACCTGTTTTTGACTCGCTGTAGTAACTAACCGATTTTGCATCGTCTTCGCACGATAACCAACAGTTTTAACCTTATGCTGTTGACGAAGTGTTGGAACTTTGACCATGGACGTTTGCCTAGGACATTTAGATTCAACGCTATGTTTCTCTTCTCGCCCTTTGATTCTTTATCTTTCGTAGGTCATTGTTGTTATACAGGAGCAAAGCACCAGTCCAAATGGCTGATGTACTACTGTTAGTGTTGTTTTCGCTGACGTCGCAACTGCTATTATCGTTACAAGCAACTCGCCCCTACAACCAAGCGTGTCAATTCACATTGGTTTTATAACTTGCGCACTTTGCATCAGATCGACCA